CCTTAAAAACAATGAGGAGTCCTTGTGGCAACTCCCATCTTTTCATGGGCTGTATATTTATACCTGCTTACTGTATTTTCCACTCCATGCAGCTGATGAAGTGGGTTATATCCCACGAAAGCTTACGCCCAAATAAATTTGTTAGTCTCTAAGGTACAGATTATGGGTTCATAAAGTTCAGACACAGATCCAAACTTCCCCAAAGTTCAGGTGTGTTTGGAGTTGGGGTTTTGGACCAGCTATTCTAAATATTCTCTACAAAAATCAAGTGTCAATGCAAAGTTAAGATTGATAAACCCAGCACCCAAAGTCAGGGATGGCAGATACAAGATTGCAAACTTAAACTTAACTCTGTCCCCTTGTGCTCATACCTTCAAATATGGCCACTCTTTGTATCATTACACATTGTCTGACAAAGAATACAACACAAGCTGTTTCTTGTTTACAGTAAGTTAGTTTACATTTACAGTAAGTTACACCACAGTACATACAGTCTTTATATTTGGCCCTCGCCACTTACCTTGATTATGTCTCTAACCTGAGCTCTGATAACAGGGCCCAGAATTCCCATTTCCTTGGGCTGGGGAGTCTCCAGACGCTTAGTGAAGTTGGCATCTGCATACTGCCTGAAAACAGCCTTTTTATACTTCTTCCCAATGAGATTTGAGAAGTTGTCCAAGTTCTGAGCTTTATACTGCCTTAAAAAAAAAAAAAAAAAAAAAAAAAAAAAAAAAAAAAAAAAAAAAAAAGGGAAAAAGTATCAATAACATCTTCTTAATGGTGAGATCCACTAGATGGTAGAATACTCTCCCATGGGAAATAGCAGAAGCTCCATTGCATGGGAAAAAACAGATCTAGATTAGACACAGCTCTATAAAAGAGATTATGATTTGTGCTACAGTAGCAGCTAGAGACCCAACCAAGGTCAGGGTTCTCATTGTGCTGGACGCTGTATAAACACATAGTATGAGAGAGCTTTTACCTCAGAGAGCTTCCAATCAAAATTTTCAAGACAAACAAAGGAGGGGAGAGAGGAAGTATTACTTCTCCCATTTTACAAATAGGAAAAGGAGGCACAGAGGGACTGAGTGACTTGCCCAAGGTGTCACAGTCTGTGGCAGAGCCAGGAATTGAACTCTGATATCCTGAATCCAAATCAAGAGACTTGACTTAATCAATGTTACATCAAGGTTTCAAAGACAGTGGAATTCCCAATGATGGCTAAGAATAGGTAGCATTCATGAAGTGAGGTGAGCAGTTGTGGTTTAGCCAGGAGCTGTGGCTGTTTTGTACCTGGACCCTTTTGAGAAAGGCTGTAGAAGCGTGTTAACAGGTTTTCTGTGACTTATCACTTCTAGCACAAGCCATGTAATTCTTGATTACTTCCGCAACTTCCTTGTCCATCCCTGGCCACCAGAAGTCTTATCGCAATTGTCTTTTGGTTAGACTCATCCCCATATGTCCTCCATGTGCCAGGTGAATTAATCGTTCTCTCAGAAGTGTAGGCACAACAAGATGGTCAATTCTCAAAACCCGTTCATTTACAAAGGACTGTTCATGTGACACATGTCTATATGGTTCCAAGTGTTGTGGTATCATTGTCATGTAAGACCATCTATGGTCTATGTAAGTCTTTAGGTCCTTGTGATGGGGTGTGCGCCCCACACTGAAACTGCAAGAGTTGCATTAGGTCCAATCAGCTAATTAGGTTGCAAACAGGGGAGCTTTGGGTTGGAGGTAGCTAATCAGAGAGAAGCTCATTTGTGAGAGAGAGGTGGGGCTTCTACAAAAGACAGGAAATTAGCAGGGAGATATGTGCAGTCACTTCCCGGGAGAAGGGAGATGTGGCTGGGGCTACAGAGGCAGGTAGCCTATGGTTACTCCCTGGGAAGAGGAGTGAAGAGACTGGCAAATCCAGAGGAGGGGGGCATGCCAGGAGGTATGAAAGCGGCTCAGGGAAAGGCAGCAAGGTGCAGGGAACTGATCTGGGCTGTTGTGTGGAGAGTCCCTGAGCCGGAACCTGAAGTAAAGGATGGGCCCAGGTTCCCCCACCAGCCACTGCAGGAGTGGCACCGTGAGCTAATGAAGCAGAAGATTGCTGGAGAGCAGGAACATTGATACACTCCAGCACCTATGTCATAACTATAAAGGGAAGGGTAACAGCTCTCTGTGTACAGAGACTCCAAATCCTTTTACCTGTAAAGGGTTAAGAGGCTCGGGTAACCTGGCTGACACCTGACCCGAAGGACCAATAAGGGAGCAAGATACTTTCAAATCTTCGGGGGGAAAGGCTTTTGTGTGTGCTCTTTGTTTTAAGGGGTGGTTCGCTCTTGGGACTGAGAGGGACCAGACATCAATCCAGGTTCTCCCCATCTTTCTAAACAAGTCTCTCCTATTTCAAACTAGTAAGTAAAAGCCAGGCAAGGCGTCTTAGATTTACTTTGTTTTTTCAACTTGTAAATGTACCTTTTTACCAGAGTGTGTATCTTTGTTTGCTGTACTTTGAACCTAAGACAGAGGGGGGTCCTCTGAGCTCTTTAAGTTTGATTACCCTGTAAGCTATTTTCCATACTGATTTTACAGAGATGATTTTTACCTTTTTCTTTAATTAAAAGCCTTCTTTTTTAAGAACCAGATTGATTTCTCCTTGTTTTAAGATCCAAGGGGGTTTGGATCTGTATTCACCAGGAGTTGGTGAAAGGAGGGTGGGAGGAAGGAGGGGGGATGGTTAATTTCTCCTTGTTTTAAGATCCAAGGGGGTTTGGGTCTGTGTTCACCAGGGAATTGGTGAAAGGTTTCTCAAGGCTTCCCAGGGAGGGAATTCTTGTGATGGTGGCAGCGGACCAAAGCTAAGCTGGTAGATAAGCTTAGAAGTTTTCATGCAGGCCCCTACATTTGAACCCTAAAGTTCAAAGTGGGGATCCAGCCTTGACAACCTAGAAGGGGAAACCACAACAGTGACCTAGCTAGAGGGCTGAGTCACAAAGAGGAGGCTGCAGCTCCCGGAAGCGGGGAGGGCTGCAGAGGAGAAACTGACAGGGTGTAATTGCTGGGAGGGGCATTGGCCTGACTCAGCTAATCCCCAGGACCGCCATGAAGTGGCGCCATCCAGCGGTGAGTACCGCAACCCCATCACAGTCCTGAAGTATCTGGTCTTCTCTCATGGCTGTTACCCACTCAGATTGAGTTGTAGCAGAAATTTATGCAAGGACATGCTCATCATCATCTGTCTCTACTGCACCCTCATGGTAAGATATGGGCAAGCGAGACAGAATCTGCAGTGGTGGTGTTGACTCCTGGAAGATACACTGTCAAATCAAAGTCCATTAGTTTGGTGGCCCATTTGGCAATTCTTGGAGTTGCTTTTCCAGAACCTTATGTGGTTAATAAAGCTGAAAGAGGCTTATAATCAGATCTTAAGATAAATCTCCCACCACCCCATAAGTAAGTTTTGAAGTGTCTTACTGCCCAGAAACATGCCAGAACTTCTCTCTCAATGAAAGAATAAGATTTTTCAGAATCAGTCAGGGCTCTGGAGGCAAATGCAAAAGTGACTCCTGTGCATTTTTAAGTTGAGTCAAGACAGCACCAAGACCTTACTGACAAGCTTCTGTTGTGACAATTATGTGTTTCACAGAATCAAAAGGGCTTAAAGCTGGGATGGTGGACATTGCATATTTGATCTGGCTAAAGCTGTTCTTGTACACTTCAACCCATTCAGATCTTATATGTCCTTTTTTAGGAGAGGACTCAATGGAACTACTTTCACAGCAAACTTCTTTATAAACTTTGAATGGTATTTGCATAGTCCAAAGGAGGATTGAAGATTGTGATGCACCACAGCCTGACAAAAAGGACAAACGGCTTTCGCTAGGTCTGGTTTTGGTTGTATGCTGTTCAGAGATCAAATTGTCATGAAGACAACAAGGTCCCCCAAGATTTGTGAACAACTCCTCATGGTAAAAGGCCTTACCTTGGAGAAAACCATAGAAGCTACCTGACAACTGGAAAGCACCATCCACCGTGTTAAATCGCTTTCTGCAACATCAGATGTCTTCCAGCCTACAGGTTAATACAGTCTGATACAAGACTGCAACCTGCAAAGCTCCTAAATCTACATTCTTTATTCCCAACCAACTCTACACTCTGCTATTTGCCAACGCCCAACCTGAGTTGCATCTTCGGACATACCCCAGAGGCTATGGTGGGTCTCCCATCCCAATCAGTGACTATTTTACAGCTACCATAGAGTATAAAAGCAGTAATCCCAAAGGGAGAAAAAAAAAATCCATGTATCCCGAAAGGGAGTTTCTGTTTTAGGATGGAATCAAAGGGGGCTTCAAATAATATTAGATCTGAATAGTACAGAACATGTCCGTCAAACTGAGAGGAAAAGGGCTACACAAGGGACCCACAGCAGTGCTGTGCGAATGCCAAGGAGCTGCAGCAGGCGTAACAGAAGCAAGGGAGGCCAACAATCGCTCTGGTGTGGAGCTGCAGACCTGCTGCTTTTACAAAGAGCTGCATGCTATCCTCGGTGGAGAACCCACCACCACCCTCAAGAGCCCTGTGGATTCTTTGGAGGAGCCGGACTCACAGCTTCCTTCTCCTCCTTATATGGCTGAGCTGCTCCGCTGGTGTGGATGGAGAGACCCCCCCCCCTCCCAAGGCCACATTTTTCAGTTAAGAGTCATCACTGATCACAGTTCCACAGTACATGGAATCAACAATAGCTGAACAGGCAGTTTAGAAATCGGGGCAGTCTGCATCAATATTGTAATTTTGAACAGTGAGGAGGAGGAGGAGTACGGGGACAGGCGACCAAGGTATCCAGCGGTGCAGCAAGCCAGGACATGTTTTAGAGACCTGCGCAGTCCAGCTAGTCCCTACGGTCCAACACAGGTGAGCCTGATGCAGGGGAAGGAATGTCTCATAAGTATGCAGTTTGCTTTGAAATTGCAAGGATGGAACGCCCAAAGTTGCAGGACACGTCTGTTGATTTATTCTTTTTTACTTATGCTAGGGGAGGTAATGAAGCAACCAATAGAGGTAAAGTTGCGATCTGCTTTTCATCCCCCCTCTAGAGTTAGGCAGAGGGTCCCTGCAGAACAGTTTGTGCGCACCAGGATGTCCTGTGCATCCTCTATAGAGATCGTGAGGAAACTTCTCTGGATGTAGTGTGCAGGCCTCTGCCAAAGGTTTCTGGGGAGGGCTTCCTTATTTCTTCCGCTGCAGTAGGACACTTTCCTATGCCACTCAGCGATTACTTCAGCCGGAACCATTGCAGCACACAGGCTGGCAGCATATGGCCCTGGTTTGCAGCCAGACGCCTGCAGGATCTGTTCCCTTCCAGCCTCCATTACCCTCAGGAGTCAGATATCAGCTAAAATCACCACCGCCTGTGGAAAACAGTGCCAGTATATTCCGTTCAATTGCCCTATATGCAGACACTCATGCCTGTGAGCTATCCCCCTTCATTCTGCCCCACCCCCTTTCCCTTCATGGTTGTACTCACCATGGCTGGACTGCAGCCGGGCTGTATCAATCGCAAGGAAAAATGAGAATCTAGTGCTTGCAACTTGTGTGGATGAAGGGGAGTGAGTTCAGTATACCAAGTTTCCATTTATCTCGTGAACACACCCACAACAGTACTTCTGTGCATTGTACCCTTTGCAGTTAGAAATGTGGCCTTGGGGGGGTCTCTCCATCCACAGCAGCGGAGCAGCTCAGCCAGATAAGAAGGAGAAGGAAGATGAGGGATGGAATGTTCCAAGAGATCCTGCAAGCCTCTGCTGCTCTGGATACCAAGCACGGGGCTTGGATGTTCACCCTCGCGGACAGCAGGCCAGGAATAGAGCAGAGAGGAGAAAGGTGCAGGAAAAGGACAGACGTGCAGCAGGAGATGCTAGTGCTTCTCAAGCAGCAAACAGACATGCTGCAGACTCGTTGACCTTCAGGGTCAACCATCTTGTGCTCGCCTCCTTCTGCAGCCCATAGAGAACTGCATTCTGGGACCTCTGGAGCAACTGCACTTACCCTTCCACACCACCCTGGAGAATCACAGCTGCACATACACTGACCTGTGAGAGACCCGGTTGGTGTATGTGTTTCTGAAATGGAAATGACTGTTCTTTCCCCTCCAAAAGTTCTTTTCTCTTTATTTCAGTTTTATTCAATTATAATTTTTCTCTATTTGCATGGGTATGGAATAAACGTCTATTTTTGGCAACTTGGTGAATTTTCCAACTCCAAACTGAGTCCTGACTGATCGGTAGCAGTCAGACATTGCAAGTTTCCACAGTGCAATTACCACTCACTTCTCTACTGTCAGTGCAGATCTCATTTTGGTGTTGCTGCGCAGGAGGGTCGGGGTGAGTTCGGCACATAGATCCAAGAACATCCGAAAGTTCTGCAACCACTGCTCATCTTCCCAAACCTGATGTGATCTCACCCATCAGTGCTTCTTTCTCCGGCCCACCTCCAGCTCCATCATCAATGCCATCAACAACTTTGAATTGTTTCTTTCTATGTCCCACAGCAATCTAGCCTCCAAGAAATTGTCATGTTCCCTGCAGCTCCTCTGGCGGCTCTGCAAATACTGCAGGATCAGGCATGCCATTCTCACAACAGTGCAGAGCTGTGCAGGATCCATGCTTCTGACACAGATAGTGGACAGCGAGGAGGGATGCACAGGTTTGTGGGGATTTTGAAGAGAGGCACACAACATTATGGGATGCAGATGAAATTATGGGATGGAGAACACTGCATTATGGGACGTTGAAATCGTGTTCCTAGTCACCCCTGCGTGACTCGTTTTGCATCGATACAAGCGCTGCTAGTGAGAACACGCACCGCCAACAAAACGAGCGTAGTGTGGACACGTAAAAATGATGTAATTACTGCAGCGGCTGTATGCTGATGTAACTTAGACCGACATAATTTTGTCGCATAGACATGGATCTTAGTCTGCGCAACAGCACCACTCGCCTAGGAAACCTCCTGCTGCCTCGTGGTGTCTGACTCCCTAGGCTTCCAGCCTGCCCTTGATCCTGTCCCTGTTCCGGCCCCAGCTTTGCCCAGGATTTGTTCCAGCCTGCTCCAGTCTTCTCTGTGCCCTATTCTGACTCTGCTCCAGACATGTTCCTGACCCGCTCTAACCCTGTACCCACCTCCTGACCCCCTTCGACTGACTCCAACCTGGCTTCAACCTTTGGACTGCTTCTGGTATCTGACTGTGATCCTGACTGGGCTCATCTATGGACTCTGACCTTGGTTCCAACCCACCGCCTGTCCCCGGACCTTAGTTTGAGCACTGCCCTGTCCCGACTCTATGTCTGGCTTCAAGTACTGCTCCAACCACCAGACTTGACCACTTAGAACCCAGAGCCTGACACATTCACTTATTCAGACTGGTAGAGCCCTTCAGAATCCATGCACTAGGACTTCTAGATAGTGCATTCCATAAATACCATGCAACCCTGCCTCTAATATTCCTCCTGTTCTACAAGATTGAGTTCCTGTGAAAAATATGCAGAAGAAGTTCTTAAGGGCTAGGACTTTACATTATATAGCGCATTTCCTAAGCCGCCCCAAGTTAACATTTCATCAACAGGGTACAGTTCACCATTTTACCTATCAATGGTCTCTGGAATTTCTGGAGCATAATCCCAGGTGATTTCTTCCGCAGCAATGAAATATTCCCAGTCCTTAATACGCCCTTCCTTAAAGGAGAATTTCTTATTGAATACGTCTTTCCTCGCACATTCTTTTATGTTGAGGTAACCGTGCATTCCAGCTGGTTATATAGAGACAGTACAATGGTTACTGTTAGTCCTATGAACAGTGCATTTCTACAGCCCATCAGCTCAGGATGCATGAAAACATTCACTCATTGACCTGAGTCTATTCAGGTTTAAAAAGAAGAAAAGAAAAGAAGAGTGCAGGCATTAAGGGTGGTATTTTCAAAGGGGCTTGTGGGAGTCCATGAGAGCTCAGCAACTAACTCGCATAGCCTCCTTTGAAAATACCAGCCTGACAGCAAGAACTTCCCCTTTTCTGTTAAATGAGCCCTCCAACCTTTCACAAGAGGGAATCCACTGATCCATTACAACAGAGATCTGTTCATTCTAGGGGGAAACTAACATCCACTGTTAAAGAGGAGCAGAAAAGATTTTTTGCTCACTGAACTGCAAAAGTTCTGTTTCTCCTGAAAAAGCTGGTCAATCTCGACTTTTTTTTATAATGAGGCTCATCTGAGCACCTCCCAAAAAATTAAAAACAGAGTTTGATTCATTGTTGCCCTGTAGCCCCTTTGCAGCAGTAGTCCTAATGAACCCCATCTTGCAATCCTAATTCAAACAAAATGCCCTGTTTTCCACTGATTTCCTAGGATGATCCCAAATGTGTTAGCCACCACATTTGACAAAGTTAGCAGCACTTTGGGAGATAAGGAGGAAGAGACAAGAATGACACTCTCGGCAACTGCACAACTGCCTCCTGAACAGATGTTCCCTTGCCTTGCAGATGCTTCTGGACAAGAGACGATATCAGCCACCTTCCTTTCTGGCTCACAGTCATGTTTGCTGTGGTCGATGCACCTCCCACAAGGCTGACGGTCGAAACCTTGCGACGATTTTGTTCCAGGACTTGCCCATTGAAATGGATGGAGAAAATCTCTGGTTTGGAGCTCATTCCTAGCAAATGCCAGCTAATGTTATCGTATGTGCAAGCTCCTAGGTCTGAAACAGAACAGCAGGGTTAAGAACACAGGTAAATCATCCCAGAATTACAGAATGTTTAATTCCCACTGGTAGGTCAAAAGTGAATACCCCTCTGCACTTTCAATAAAGTCTCTCTGATATCTTGATGGCCATGTCTAGGATGGATACTGTATAGGCCATGGGTGGGATTTTCAAAAGTACTTAAGTGGATTAGGAGTCTAAATGCCATTGAAAGTCAATGGGAGTTGGGTGCCTAACTAACTTAGGTGCTTTTGAAAAACCTCACTCCTTATCCAGCAGGTGGCAAGAAGAGATTTAATTCTCTCTCTGCACGAACTGCAACGCTCTTGGGAGCCATGTGCTCTCGGCACTAAGGTCAGACTGCAGGGGAAAGCGGTGGTGGTTGGGAGTGCACACATGCTCCCTTGTGGAACCAGATGCTCATCGTACAGTCACACACGAGGCTGTGCCACTCTACTCCTTCTGTTTGCTTTCTGCAGCTGACTAGTGTATGCTGCAGTGAGGAGTAATACACAGTTTGTGGACTCTGGCTGGATGCCACGAGTACGTACAGTACCTGGCAATGTCCCATTAGCATAACCATTAATCGTGTACAGGAGAGAGGTTGATTTTTGCCAGCTTTTGCTTTCATCGAACACAGCAAACATCAACACATATTCTCTGTCAAACAGCTTCTGTGTCCCATCTTCCTTCAGGCTTCCTGTGGGAGGAAACAAGAGGTATCAGATGAAGGCAAAAATAAAAACAGTTCACATCAACTAAAAGGCATCGATATCTATTCCATGAGCTTGCCGCACATGCCAGCAGCACCTGGCCAGATAGGACGTTTTTTCAAAATGTGTTTGAGGTGAATTTAGTTCTGGGGAAAGGCGCTGGACTGGCAGCTTTGGAGACTGAAGGCCTCTAGCATCCACAGAACAGGTTCAGCACAGGGAGCATCAATGCATGCTCCCTCTAAACTACTCCAGTAATGTGCCACATTGGTTGGTTTTAATATATTGCTGACAGCTAGAGAGGAGATCCATCTTGAGGTCCTATTCAGTCCTTGTCTTCTCTTCCGGGACTACCAGATTAATACCAGGTGTAGTTGAGTTTCTGCCAATGTGGACAGCTGCCCCCTTGGTACTGGACTGAGACCCCCAAATCATTTCACACAGACAAGCAAGCAGCCTTCACATGGTAAGGATTTTTGGTCATTACTGCCATGGGCAGATACTGCAGTGATGAGTGTAGTATAAAAACCTAAATAGAAGAGAATAGGACTGGTGACCTAGAGGTGAGATGCATTTATTTTTTATACACGTATGTATTGCCATCCCACCCAAACCTAGTGTCATCTCATTGTTTCATCCGTGAGATTAGAGATGTCAGAAATGCAAACTTGGTTTTAATATATTGCTAGTTTATTAATTGACTTGTATCGCCCAGGCAGTGCTTAATTTGTAACGAAAGAGGGGCTGGGGCTCAAGCAATTTTTTTACTTTTATAACTGATGTGGCAACCCCAGAGGTACCGGGGCTATCAACTGCTCAGCCCAGAGGTGCCGGGGCTCAGTCCTGGCAGAAATTAAGCACTGAACACAGGACTAAGACAGATATCAATGAATTTGGAGAAGGTTGACACAAGGAAGGAAAATAAATATTTCCAAAATACTCATATACACAATCACATCAGCTACATCAGCAGGACAGGGAGCATTTTTAATATGGCAAAACAAAGTGTTTTTTCCTAGCCTCGTTCTTGGAAACAGTTAAACAGCTTTGGCTACAACTTTCCAAAAGAATTCAATCTGAGGCAGACACCTGGAATGGTAAATTCCAGCCTGAACAGTTGAAGTTTGACAATGTTATAAGCAATTGAAGCTGGGGGTCTCAAAATGGGAAATGTCAGGCAACTTTAATATAAGGTGGTGTTACCAGCCCTACCTACAATTAGAATTATTCAAGAAACTAGTGTGCATTACAGCTAGTCCAGAACACTGTAACCCTAAGGCCTAAAATAAAGACACAGGAAACAAAAATCAGTTTCCTCTAAACTGCCTGCACAGAAACACGAGAAGGAAAGAGGAAAATGAAATGCCTTCTCACATTATGATACAATCTTCAAGGTTGATTTTTATGTGTTTTTTAGTTTTTATCATTACCATAACAGAAAACAACACTATCAGAATGTGCAAGGCCACTGAAACAATAGACCAACTGACATTTTATAGCTTTTGTCTACCCAAAGTATTTTGGTTACCTTTTTTACATATAAGCAATGCTCCAATCAGACCGGAGTTAAAGTCCATCACCATGTTCTCATGTGAGTAATAGATATAGGTGAGACAGGGGGGG